CTCTCTCTCTCTCTCTCTCTCTCTCTCTCTCTCTCTCTCTCTCTCTCTCTCTCTCTCTCTCTCTCTCTCTCTCTTCGGTACTAACCTGTGAAGGTGGCGCCTTGTTGCAGGTACATCGAAGACGAGGCTGGAGCTATAATGGCAGCACAGGTAAGTCTCCCTGGCCTCCGCCAACCATCTCCCTCTCTCTCTCCAATGCTACTCTAGCTCCCACTAGCGCCCAGCGCTGAAGACTACTGCTAACGCTACTACTACTACTGCGGCGCTCCTACAGAGTGCTGCTGCCGAATCCTGAAGACTGCCTCCTGCCTCCTGCCTCCTGCACGTGAAGTGCCTGGGAAGTCCCTATGAACTACCTCCTGCCTACCTGCAGGGTGGGCCAGTCTTATATAGTCCTGGCCCTGCCAGGAGGCTGCTCTTGCCAATGCCAAAACGTGCCAGACCCTGGCGTTGAAGCTCAAACAGTTTTAGCACAGGCCATTTTGGGTCTGTCGTCTTGAAAACAGGCCCAAAATGGCCTGTGCTAAAACCCTGGTCTGGTGACTAAGTTTCAGGGCAGGTCAACTTTATGAGGGCCTGAAAATGGCCCTCGTTTTCAGGCTTTTAGGCTGAAACGACACAGGGCCTGAAAATGGCCCTCCTTTTCAGGCTTTTAGGCTGAGAACGCTGGCCGGGCCCTGCAGGCCCATGTGGCTGGGCAGTATGCCACACTAGTAGTGCCCTCGCTCGACAGAGAGAGAGCAGGATTTTTCTGAGCAGCTGTGACCATCATCTTGAGAGAGAGAGAGAGAGAGAGAGAGAGAGAGAGAGAGAGAGAGAGAGAGAGAGAGAGAGAGAGAGCAGGGTTTTTGTGAGCAGCTGCGACCATCATCTTGAGGGAGAGAGAGAGAGAGAGAGAGAGAGAGAGAGAGAGAGAGAGAGAGAGAGCCGAGTTTTTGTGAGCAGCTGCGACCATCATCTTGACCGTAGTCTTGCCTTGAAAGTCAGATGTAATCATTCAAGAACTGTTTTTGTGAGCGGCTGCGGCCATCATCATGCGTGTATCTGACCCTGATCAGCAGATGTATACATTCGAGAACGGGAGGAGCCGTTATTGAAATTCACGGGAAGCCAGTTTGAGAGAGCAGCTGCGACAATCGTCATGACGAGTGCATCTGGCCTTGATTGTCACATGTATACATTTCGAAAACTGGAGTTCATCCGGGTTTGCCATTTAGAGAGCAGCTACAACCATCATCTCATGAATGTATCAGACCTTGCTCTCTCTTCTTTGGCCTTCTCCTTTTCCATGGCAGCTACGTCCTTCAGCTCGTTGGAAAGACATCGTGTTCCAATCCCCGGCTATCACCAGATTCTCAACATCGGGATCGGGTACACATGAGGGTCGGTCAACATCCGGTACACATGCCGTACACATCCAGTGCACAAAGTAATAAAATTTTGATTCCCTCCAAAAAAAAAAAAAAAAAAAAAAAAAAAAAGAAATAGAGTCCGAGTTCGAATACAGATGCAATCAGGCACCTCTGTTGGCTCAGGATACACTCTTGTCTTCATCCATCTGAACAGAACATAAGTAGCTGGTGTCGGAGCTCACGACAAGCACATCTTTTCTTCATGAGCAGGGTTCAACCCTCACCATGAGTGTATCTGACCTTGATCTTCAATTCTATACATCGGAGAACAGAATTTTTTTCCAAGCAGGTCTTGGTTTTGCTGGCACCTGCAGAGGGTCGTGCAGATGGATAGTCCTCTCACACTGTGTGTGTAGTTTTGCACTCAGTCTGGGCCAAGGGAGATTATGGGGCTTATGGGGGTAGACAAATACTCAGATTATGGAGGTAGACAAATACTCAGAGATATGGTAGACTCGGCCAAGGGAGATTATGGGGCTAGATCCGCTCCTACTTGAAAATGAGAGAGATATATGTTAAGAATTGTGAGCGGATCTTTCCACCTTCTAGAGGAAGATGCACTTGCCATTTCACAAAGGTAAGTATGGTTGTTTCAATTTTGCATCTGCTCATCTGGGTGGAAAAGGCGCTGTTGTGGTGAAAGTTTACGTCGCCCCCCCACCCCACCCCCCGGCCCCGCCCTTCCTTTGCTCTGGGTGAAGATCTGAAGGCAAATGAACAGGAGTATACCCCTCCCCCTTCACTTT